GGAATTCTGGTATATGAATGGTGTCAAAACCAGGTCTTCAGTAGTGAGCCCATCTCAGACCCCACTCTTACCCCGGCTTGATTTCAGACTGGTGCCTCACAGCACTGTATCGGATGGCAATGGTGCATGCTTTAGACAAAGCTCGAGCGGCTTCTCCCACAAGGACGGACCTGACAAACACCATGGTCCCATAAGTCAGCTTGTTACTCGGGGGTTTCACATACGTGCCATCAGGCCTCACCTGGAAGAAGAACATGGCATTGATGCTTCCTTCTATTAAGCCCGTGGCAGTTTAGTGGTTCTCAAAGTGTGATCCCTGGAATAGCAGCATCAGCATCACCTAGCAACTTCTCTGAAATACTGAATCTCAGTTCCCACCCTGACCTACTGAATCAGAAACTCTGTGGGGTAGGACCCAGTACTCAGGGTTTTAACAGGCCTCCCCATGACTCAAACACATGTTAAAGCTTGAGAACCACTGGTTTAGCAAACCAGGCTATGTTCTTCACCCCAACTGCTTTGATTTCACTATCATAATAAAAGAAGCATCAGAAGTAAAAATATGTTATTACTTTCTAAAAGAACAGACCCTGCTAACCCCACTGTTAGCAACAGCCACTGCAAGCCCTGTTTGATGCTTCTGCTCTATTTTCTGTCTAAATATACCTGGGCATACTTCATCAGCATGTTTTCTCTGGGAATACGGTAGTTGTCCATCTTGAGGTAGCCATTATCTATCTCATCATAACCAAATTTGGGGCCGATGTCTCCGACAGTAATGCCTACCACAGACGAAAGGAAAGTCACGAGATGTTTATGCTCTGGAATTCTTGGTCTTTCCCCTCTTCTTCAGTTGTGCATTCCACTTTTTGTAGAAGGAAGTGTTCAGTTTAATTTTCATCTCAACATCAGATGAGCAATTCTTACCTGGCAAAGGCTTATGGGTCCCCATTTCACGAATAGGTGCAATGAAGGCATGTAATCCATAGCATTTCCCCTTCGTGATGAGTTGGGCAAGAACTATTGCATGATTTGAAGTCTTTCCAACTGTAATATCAAAGAGAATGGGAAAGAGAACTGAGCAAACGTTCTTATATATTTTCAAAGGGTAGAAATAGGAGAGGAGAAAAATGTGTATGTTAAATATAATACTAGACCACATCAATAAATTGTGTCCAGAAAGCCTTTCTGCTGAAAGTATCACATCTAGCTTTCATAAAGGAATTTCACTGAAGCTGACAGTTATTAAAATTTATTGAATTTTAGCAGCCAGGCGCGGTGGCTCACGCCTGTAATCCTAGCACTCGGGGAGGCTGAGGCGGGC